TTGTGGTGGTAATGGAAATTAAGTCACTTTTTGAACTGCTTGCAATCTTATAAACTGTAACAAATATCTATGTACGTCAGTTTGTACGTCCAACCCAGGAAAACCTAAAATACACGAAAAAACTATACGACGTTCTGCACAGTCATTTGTAAATAGACATGAGCTATAAAACTATCTATATCTTACGAATTTAAATGCGAAAGTTTAATTGGATGGTTTGATAGAGTTTTTTTATCTAAACTGCTGAATGGATCTCGATGAAATTTGGATTAGACGTAGAGAACATTCTGGAAGAACACATAGGCTACTTTTTGTTTTTTTTTTCTAATTTCGGACGAACGCTACTTTTTCATAAATCAATCATTTTTTTGAATGTTTTTCCATTGTTGAATATTTCAGGTGCAACAAGAGAAGCAGCAGGTAAAAGTCAGTTGTGTACATCTCAATACAAAGTATATTGTTGTAAGCGGCACTCGTAAGTTTTCCAATATCACGCGTGTGTCGAACGCACGCAAACAAATTGCATATGTCGCGGCTCCGAATTCCACGACCGATGTCACCATTTCAATATTTCAATTTTTGTATAACGATATTAGTTTTCCGAACAACTTCCAATACATTCCCTTTACAATTAAGCCACCGACAACTTTATCAAGGCTAGCTGGTTTAACAAAATACTTCATTCATCTTCATTTATAAACGTTGATCATAATGTTCATAAGATATCAGTATTGATGCAGACGTAAACTTCACTCATTATAACGTTTTTCCGTAGAACGCTCGCCAATTATTATTAGATTTGCCTCCCTCTTGTCGAGCTACGAGGGACAGTATCAACAAAAACTCTCCGTAGTTTTATCCTTATTACGAATTAAAAACAGCAGATCGTGGGGGGATTTAGTCGTAACAAGATAAAGTCATTTCGTTAGGCTCGATACCGTTGATAATATATTCCTCCGACCGCTCCCTACGTCCCCTACTGTTTGTTCTTGCTTGTTTACTGCACATGCCACATTTTATAGGGCCCAGTAAGCCCACGGCATCCTTAAGATCCCTTTACAAGATTTTCTACCGTCACAACACAAAAAAATACATCCCTATTGATACTGTTGCCAATGGAAGTGCCATATTTGTGAGACAATGTTGTAACTACAAAAACTTAGAATATAAGCAAAAATAAATTATATTATTTTTAAAAGCTTAATCTGCTTCTAACTAATTTTTAATAAGTGCATAAATATCTTTATATTAATTAGTCAATAAAATTCGCAATCACTCATAAAGAGTCCTTATTATTTTTAATTAGCGTTTATTTAAGTATTTTCAATGTAAATTTTGATCGAAATTAACAGCATACAAAATGAATTTATTAATTGCCTGATATCGCAAAAACAGTCACAGAATTTTAACCTATAATGTTGTTTTATATGTAAATCTCGATTTAAAACGGCGCCATATTTGATATTTTCATTTCGTTCTGATCATTGGACGCGTTTCCGTCATGTTTATTGATGAGTGAGGCTGATTGGCACCTGTGTCGTTTTTGTATCAAAATAATTCATTTGCGCAAATAAACCGACAATTTTTCAATTTATAGAAATAAAAATACAACCTCGGGCAAATATAATTACGAATGTTAACACAAAAATAATTGTGAATCAGATCATCAATCAGTCGCTAACTGGAATAAAGGAAAAAACATTTACTGAATGTCTGAACAATAGATGGCGCTGACGAATGGTCTAACAAAGGCAAAGATGGCCGCCTTTTCGCATGAATCGTTGGACCGCGTAATTGACAACAGATACATCTTTGTGATATTCTTTGTTGTCCACGTTAATAGAGAAACAATATTTAGAAACTGTACTTGGTTTCGTGTTCTATCGGAATATTTAAATTACAACGAAAATTCTACGTTGGAATTCTTAATTTCCCTGGTACATGCACATAAATTGAAGATGCCGGTGATAAACAAATTCAATTGTTTTTTACTGCTTTATAAGTATAATAATAATTTTTCGTATTATATGAAAACGGATAGGATCACTTCCTTAACGCTATAAAACGATTTAAGTATAAAATATAGATAAGGGTCTTGATGCTCGCAAATAGGCTCCCCCGATATCTTCGCAAATTACTCGCATTACAGCGGCTTATATCACATCATCTAATTTTTAAGGAAAATTGTGAACAATAAAGATTTACAACGTTCAACATAATTTTGACTTGAAATGTAACAACTTTTTAAACCCATGATTATAACATCGTACACTTGAGGTCCACGTTAATTAGGAAACGCATACAGGTAAATAATTATAATAATTTATGTCAATTTATACTAATCTTCAATAAATCATTCGAAATAAAGTTTGGAAAATATTTGGCCAGTAGAAGTAACTAGCTGTTTCCGTGCGACTTCATCCGCATAAAACTATGAAAATTTTATTGTTTACACGTGTCAAATTGTCAGTTGCAAATGTCATAATGACATGATGACAAACCATGGCAACCTTGCTTCCTTGGTGTTGGCAGCAACTTATGGTCTCTTTCCCACATTAGGGTTTTTATCCAAAAAAAACACTAAGTTTAATAGTGTTAAAAAATGTAACCTAAAGCGTGACGCAAGTGTAGGACTTTTTATTAAAAAAAGAATCATTCGAAAATATACTGTAATTGCTGACATCTTGGGCAACAAAGAAGTGTGTGTTTACGTTTTATTATAATAGTATAGATAACCATAAATTTAATATCCCAAACAGCATCCGTAAAATTTGAACGACAGTTGGTGATTCATTCGGGCTATTCAGTTCTATAATTGAGAAAGTTTACATAATAATTTCTTTATGAAATTTTCATCTCAAACACCTTAATTAACGGGTGAGAAGACTTTCGCAATTACGTTATAAAGCAGGTATGCTTCGAGAAAACTTAATGAATTGTAGCAACTTACTTCAGTGTGCTCTGCCGGAGTGAAACATTTCTGTACAAGTTTTACATTCCACAGTTGCAACACGTACTCTTCTTAATTACTATTTATTTTATATTTATATCAATAATTTAACATTGGGAACTAGAACAATATGTTTCAACTATAACTTATTAGCCCGCGACTCCGTCCGCGTGGAATTTAAAAATAGAAATAAAGAAATGGAAAAATCTAGCCAATGTTATCCACAGATAAATTACCTTTCTAACGGTAAAAGATTTTTTTTAAATCGGCCTAGTAGTTTTTAAATCAAATACATACAAAAATACAAAAATACTGAAATACTAAAATACTAAAATACTAAAATACTAAAGTACTGAAATACTAAAATACAAATCTTCCCTCGGAATAAATAGTATCATATGTCCGTCTCGTGACTCTTAGCTACCTCCTCGCCAATTTCAGCCCTATCGGTACAGCAGTTTTTGAGTTATAAATAAAACTAACACGACTTTCTTAAAAGGCATAGAGTAAACGAATTTAAAAGAATTCACAAATTGAAACCATATACGTTGGTTCACGTAGAATCAATATAACACAGTATCACACATTTAATTTAGTTCTGAAGTACACAGTCACAGGATACTATTTTTTCTGTCTCGTATACTTCGCATTGTATGAAGGAGCAATAGTTTAAGGTTTATTTCTAACAGTTTTAGTTTACTTCCGTGCGGGACATGCTCTACCAACTGTCCTTACAGCAAACTTCACCTGGAGTCTCCAGCAAAGTGGAGCGTATTAACCACGAACAAACATTCCCCTAACAACGCGTCTACCCGCTTCATTTTAAAATGAACCGACCAACTTGCACGCCTTTTATCCTTTTAAATAAAAGACCACTCACTTTACCAACATGAACACAAATATGGTACGCTACGGACTTTGAAATTACACCCCTTTGTGTACGAAAATTTTAATGCAATCGTGAAAACAAAAATGATTTTTGTTTACTGTTTAAAGAAATTAAATTATGAATGTAATTATAATTCTGTAATATTTTCATTAAAATATTAGTCTTTGCACAAAAAGATATTTTATACTCTATGGAAATAAAAACATTCCTAAAATCTTTGTTATGACGTTACGAAGTTAGGTTAGATTTGTTAACAAAATTTTTAAATTATATCAGATTTCTAAAACCTAAAACATCTAAAATCAACATTTCACAAGTATTTATTACATTTTTTAAATCTCGCAATAGGTAAGTACGCTTGTATGTGGAAGAAACTTCCCACCCCAATAACATCAACCCTCCTTCCGTACATAGAGAGACATTAACAACTAATGGGTATGCAATCTTCCCAATCCAGGCGCGGCTAATTCCCGTCACCATTGTAAAGTAATTTGCACTGCAGTTGCTAACCGTCTGCTTAACAATATTTTGATAATTTTACACGGTTGTGAAAGAATCTATAACCACGTTTATAATAGATTCTTTTTGTGATAATAGATGGCGTTAGTAGTGTTTAATTCGTTTAAACAATTTGAAGCATACAAAGATGTTAAAGGTATTTTAAAATTAAATCCATAGTGATGATAACCGTAGAACAGGTAAAGAGCGGAATCAGGGCATAGCTGACGTTCCCGAGCCTTGTGAAGAGCTTCGTCATTTCAGGTGCGCGCGGCATCGGAATTAAATTCTTTGCCCATGTCGATCAAGCACAATCTTCAATACCGCACAGTAAATTTTCATGTTAAAGGCTAACTTGGATTAAAATCCAAGTTAAAATTTGCCCTTTTAGCAGGGGTAACAGTATTTTTAACAAATTATTTTGTTGTTTTCAAAGTTTATGAATTAAACAGACGTCGTTGTAATAGCATTGCGTCTCTAAATTACCATCTTAATTACACAATTAATATATGTTCAAAACATTTTATGAAACTAAACTTAATGGTTATTTTTATATATTTAAAAATGTATTTATTATCCTTATGTTTCAGTCTATAGCTACCACACTACGACATATAACATATCCCTTGAGCCTTGCAATGAAAACGATTTTATTTGTTACAGAAACGTAGTGTACAATCTCAGCTTGACCGACCTAACAGAGCAGCGCCGCCTGGTGTGGTACTCTCCATCTAACGACGTGCAGATGTGCGTCGTCAAAGGGAAAGATGAGGTACGTCAAAAACTACGAACTATTCCTAATTCAATTTTCACTAGGTTGGCTGCAATTGATCATAAGGAAGCGATTTTGTACAACTAGTTGCTCACTGGAAATATAATATTACTTTTACCTCACTATAAATTGTCTTAAATGTTGAAGTCTATAGTGTATTTTATGGGTACACGGAATGGGTACAAAATGACACCTAACCTATAGAAGATTAGGTTAGTTAAAATATTTGAACGTCATTTGTATATTACGAATGCAATGAAATACTTAAATGCTTGTAAATTATGATACATTCGTAAATTGTAAACAACAAAAGCCGTAGCATCAAGACTACTCTGAACATTTTGGTTTTAGTTTTATGGTAGCTCAAAAACTTTATTGCATCATAACCGTTAAGTTGCAATATATTGGATTGAAAGCCTTTATATGTTAACACCGGTATATTCTGAGAGTAGGGCGTCTAACAGCATTCGATAATCGTTGAGTGATCCCCTTAGTATTGATTCAGATCTTAACTTTGAGTTCGGTAGTAAGTCTATACTAATATTATAAAGAGGAAAGATTTGTATTTGTGTTTGTATTGAAATAACTTAAAAGTTACTGGGCCGATTTCAAAAATTCTTTCACCATTAGAAAGCTATGTTATCAGTGAGTAACTGGTTTACTAAATATTTTTTAATTTTAAGCAGGCAAAGTAGTTACTTTGCCTGCTTAAAGTTTCTATCGTTGCTAGTTAGCAACGATAGAAACTTTATTGAGACCTCCGTTCTTCTTTTTCATAAATAAGTTGTATAATTTAGTATTATCACGTTTATTTAACTTACATATTTCCTTTTCGAAATAACTCTGTATAAAAAATAACAAGAATATTTGATACGCGATACGGAATACTCGTATTAACTCCTATAATGATTTCCAGAAATAGAGTGGGAAAGTCATGCGGGAATATTGCTGGCGCTTAATGTCACCTAACGCCATCTCGTGGCGGTTAATTGAATTCAGAGCTAGCGGCTCGCTGTGTCAATCTGGCACTTTCACACCAAAACGGCTTTCGAATATAACTAAATTAAAAGTCTGAACCGTAGTAGTACTTCTAATACTATAATTATTATTAATAAAAGAAATTTTTCAGGGATTCATTTTTCAATTCAAATTTTTAACATAAAAATTATAATAAAATGTTAGAGCTATTAAGTTCATCTAAAATGTTTATGTTGACAGATACATCTATTTGCCTATTTCTTTGTAATTAAGCATAAAATAAAATCCATTCCACCTATAGTACATACGTATTTTTTCGTAGTAAAACAAATGAGTTTTTGTAAAAGCGTTGAAAATCCTCAGTCCTTTGTGCAGACCATCACTAGTGCTGGCTGATTGCTGTGTGCTTCGGAACCTCAGGGACCTCATGCTAGTTGCAGACAAGTTCGGACTTCAATAGGGTGACAATGCCAAAATGAAAATATTCGGGACATGAGTTGTATTTTAGAAGGGTTACTTATAAGGGTATTTCAACGTTTTTGCAATATTTTAATATTTGACGGCATATTTTTTATTAATAGATTTTATTACACGAGTCATGTTTTTTTAAAGATAAAAAATATTTACTAAGCGAGGAGAATTCATCATCACCAGCTCACTATACGTCCCCACCGAGGGGCTCGGAGCCTACCCTAAAGTTAGGGTGACTAGGCCATAGTCAACCACGCTGGCCAAGTGCGGGTTGGTTGACTTCACACATATCTTTGAATTTCTTCACCAATATGTGCAGGTTGCATCACGATGTTTTCCTTCACCGTAAGAACGTCGGGTAAATTATGTACATATGAAAATTCGAAAAAATCGAAAATCACATTGGTACATGGCGGCGGGATTCGAACCCAAGACCTGTAGATTACAAGTCAAGTGCTCAAGCCACTGAGCCACCGACGAGCGAGGAGAATTATTGATAAAATATTTTACAAACAATATTTTTAGCAAGATAAAAAAAATCACATTTAAATAAAAGTAAATTGTGGTCGTCCTACGTAGAATAGACATGTTATTGACTATTAAGCACACATAGTAGTCTACAAGGACATCGAAGACGGTTTACTCCGTTTTTTGTCTTCTAAAATTCAAAATAGTCTTTAAAAAGATGGTTATATAAAAAATATCGCAAATAATGTCTGAACTCAAAGAACGTGGGTGAAATTTCGTTTAATGCTTTAACGTAAATGACAAACTTTTATGAGCAGCAAGTTATATTCCTATTTCCAATTTAAGTACAGTCCTTGATAAGTATTCGAAAATAGAATTCCAATCGGAATTCGGTAAAGTAGCCGTCCGTGTTGGAAAGTTGTTACCCGAATATAGTAGAGAGGCGAATGGGGAACATTGGGCACGGTAAATGGCATAATAGGGAGGAATCGGGAGAGATACGTTCTATGGGCTCCGGTAACAACCGCAGCTGACGGCGTTCGAGTGCGAACATCGCTCCACTATCGACGTTCTCAACCGAATATCTGCCGACGGCTGTGCATGGTAATGCTATAACGGAAATACCGCGGCTACGAAATCTTTTCTTCAATATTAATATGCCGGCAAATATTAAAAAAGTATTTCTTATTCTAATTTTGATTTATCGCTCTATCATCGACCGTAATTAAAATATAGATGCGTTACTTGGTCTAGATTCTAAGTCTAGTGTCTAAACGACAAAATGTACAAATCTTAATTTTATAAAGATATAGTTGTTGATCGCGACTTCGTCCTTCTGGAATTAAATAAAAAATATAGCCTATGTTACTCAGTGGTTACGTAGCTTTTAAATGGTGCAAGAATTTTTAAAATCTGCCTGTAGTTTAGTGTTATTTCAATACGTACAAAAATCCAAAAATACAAATCTTTCCTCTTTACAATATTAGTATAGATATAGATAGATAAATCCTTATTCGTATTAAAATACTCCGGTATATTGCAACAATATGCTCTTGTCAATCCTTAAGCTAGGTTAGACTGAATGGGCATTGTTCTGAGCCCATGCCTACATCGGCCTGTCATAATCTCCATTATCATTTAATATAGTGCGGGCGTCTTCATTGTTGAGGATTAATGCCATAAAGGTGTTAGACTTGACGCGTTAATCCGCACAAAGCCTGTTACATTAGTTACGTTGTGAATTAGACAATCTTCTTGTAGCTGACATAACGATTTTCTTGTTCACTAACGTATACAGCGTTTTGTACTCAAAAAAAAATATTCTCCTTGAAAATCTTGCATTGGTGTTTCCCAAAATGTTACACGCTTATTGATCGAGTCATGTAATACAGATTACTATTGATTATTTGTGTTTACTATTGATATTTCTCAAGAAATTCGCTTGCAATCGAATCAACATCAAACTATCGAATATGAAGCATTGAACGCGTCCATTGAGCGTCAGTTCCAAGTAAAACGTAACGGGAATGCATAAATCCAATCAGCCTTTACGGAGCCCACTGTACTCAAACAGGATTACTGCTCGGACATCTGGAGCATTCTAGAAGCGGATGCAAATGTAATCATAGGTATGGTTGGAGTGGACTTGCGTTTACTATGCCGCTTTTGTTCACTAATGCTGTCCGATTGTAAAGATCTACGTAAGGTGTTCCACAATCAACGACATTGCTCTAACACTTGGGATGAAACTTATTGTTGTCTCTATTCCTTTAAAGAGTAAGAAAAGGATGCGAAATTCATTCACAAATACACGATTGTATTTGTGAATGAAAATCTATTGCTGGAATTACGCTACATGTCTCGTAAATTTTAGAATTTCATTGAAAAAGTTTTATTTTTGGAAAATGAATATTTACGTTTAGAGTCTACGAGTACACTGCCTTTTGCCTGCGACTCCATCCCCGTGGCATTAAAATATACAAAAGCGAGTAGACTGTGTGTTCTTCTAGACTATGTGCTTATGACAAATTTCATCCAAATCCGTTCAGCCGTTTAGACTACAAACTCTATCAAACATCCATCCATCCATCTAAACTTTCGCATTTATAATATTAGTATGATTATTCTATATCGGTGTAACCTTTATTGAAAAAATTATGTCCAATGTTTTGTGAGTTATCTCCAAACAAATTTACAACACAAAGCTGAAAGTTATAAATATTTAGGCGCGCCAATGGAATGTTCGAGTAACGTTTATGTGTCTATAAAGTCCGCACGAAATATATCAATTTGCTCCGAGCATCTTTGCTGTAACTTTTCCTCTAGGAGCTTGAATTCTCGTAAAAACAGACTAAATAGCTAGTGACATGAGCTGCTGTAAATACAATGCCTTCAATGTTTATGTCATGTAGCATTTGTAGTTTACTTTATCTATTGTAGTTTCAACGACAAATCGTTTGGAAATATACTGTTAAAAAGAAAATCAATACTTGTAGGATTAACACAACACTCGATCATTGGTATATATGTCCCATCCCTATCTGACAGCTGTCAATGTCATTCAGACAATAGAAAGCGCACTATTCTGGCGGGTGTTAGTGGCCTGAATATTAAATTTTATTACGCTTTTACAATTATATTAATGACTAACTAATTTTGATGTTTTCAATGTGTATTTTGTTAAAGATTTACCAACATTAATTTATCCCTAACATGTCAGCAGTGGAAGGCATTGGGGAAGGCCTATGCCCAACAGTGGGCAAACAAAGGCTGATGATGATGATGTCTCTGCAATAGGAGAACAGTCAGTTACCGATGTTTGCGATTTAGTTTTAAACGATAATTTGGTTGGCTAGAAAACAAAGAGTATTATTCTATACCATTTATAGTCTTTATCGTTATAGAAAGTTTTCTAAGTAAAACAATAACTGAACAAAGTTTCGATCGTATGACCCTTACGGGTAAAGTTATTCCAATTCCTTCGTAACTGCTGTTATTATATCCGTTCTTTTTTACTTTATAAGTTTTTAAAGCTAGATAAGTTTTAAAGAATATTATTTCAAGTTTTTAATTTAGAATAGAAACTCGTTAAACTCGTGACACTTCGAGAAAAAGATGCACGCTAGTGATTCATTTGTACAAAATTGTATAATCTCAAACCTGCTTCAACACCATAGTGACAAGTTCATTTTTCAACAGGAGAGCTGTCAGAATTACATCCGCGTGCTTGTCTCGCTGGGCCCGGGGCGGCTGCTGGTGTGCGGCACGAATAGCTTCAAGCCGTTCTGCAGGGAGTACAGCGTGCAGCGCGACTCCTACCACATGGAGAGAGAGAAATCCGGCCAAGCGGTCTGTCCGTACGACCCGGATCACAATTCCACCGCAGTCTATGCTGGTAAGATAATTTCTCGACTATCTTTATTTACACTACATTTCTTTGTTATGTAAGATTTCGTCACATATTTTTTAATACTTCTTTATATAAAAATCTATACTGACAAAATCCTTAATGACTTAGTTCACGCTATTAAACTTAGGGTGTTAGTGAATTAGGAAAAATCCACTACTAAAGAATCAAGGTTGCCATGGTCATTTAAAACAGTAAGATTGGCCCTTAAAATTGTAGAATCTTTAGTAATACATCTCAACTAAACGTGATTGATGAGCTATTAAAGAAATCTATTCATAAATTGATCCCTGAGTGTGGCATTATGTATTCTCTTCCAATTGATAATTAAAAAAAAAATTATATATCGTTGATTTTCATACCTAATTATCTTTTTGTATAGTTAATTAAAGTCTATAGTTAAATAATATAAGGCTATTTAATAAAAGTTTGTTCATGTTAGTATTTGCAGTCAATATCTCCTATTGTGTACTAATTTGTCCGTGACTTACACGTTGTGTAGGTAAACCTTAATAGTGGCATAGAGCGGAGTAGATTTGCATTGATTTAGCCACTAATGCAATCTCAGCTTAGATACACTGCGTCTACTCCAAACTGATAGACCAATAGGCGCCACTTAATGTATATTAGTACAAATAACCTCTAGACTACACTGTTATTGAACAATTATTTTGATTACAACACTCTTGGTAGATTTAGATCTTTAAAATTTGATGACGTCATCATCTTTTGCATTGTTAGCAAGTAATTGTTATAATATACTAGCTCGTGACTCCGTTCGTGAGGAATTAAAAAAAAAACAAAAGTGAGTAGCCTATATGATCAGACTCCTCTACATCTATGCCAAAGTTCATCGAGATCCGTTCAGCCGTTTGTGCTACAAACTCTAACAAACATCCATCGATCCATCTAAACTTTCTCATTTATAATATTAGTAAGATTGTCAATCCACATTTCGTTTGGAATAGGTATAATATTTTATTCGTATAGGTATTAAACTCTTTGACTAGACAAATATATCATAAATATTAAGAGCGTGTGCACATGTAACGAAACTATCGCACTACTCGATTTTTAGTTGTGCAACTAAACAGTTGAATTGAAAACAAGCGACAATCACACAACTATTGTGCGATTGTTTCGTTACAGGTATGCATCTGCTCTAACACAATATAACATCAATTATAATGTACTTTGATACTTCATCTTTACATCATACAAGTTCTATCAAGTGACACTTCATACTAGACGTGTGGGGTGTTTCTGTCGGTGGCTCCCTCTAGCACCACTTAATGCGTGGAAACTATAAGTTGTCTGCGATATCACTAATGTACGTTTTTTACTTTGTTAGCTGTTTGAGTGATAATTAAGGGTTGATTATTATGATATAAAAATTGCAACAATACAGTTTTACATAAATTCGGTACTTTACTACATACTAAATTTAGGGCCTGTCCCATATTTTTTGTAAATTGTGAAATAACAATCCAATGTCTAAAATATATGATGGAAGTATCTATCTGACAGTGACGTCACACAGCTAACATATATCTGACAGAGCCTCTATCAACCAGTAGTGGGACAGGCTCTTAAAATTTTCGATATTACACGTAGGTTTTTATCAATTTTTTCATGTATTATTGGCAGTATCAAACAAATTTATGTTTTTTTTTATAATAACATGTTAAAATATTATATTCATACAAATTTATAAGTTATAAGTAACTGCTTTCGTCTGAAAGTGTTCCACATATGTGTTGTGAATCACATGTGCGAACCCAAATCTTACCTCACATTGTCAGGAAATTAGGGAAAAGAGAAAATCTTTTTCATATCGATTGGACCCACTTTCACAGTCTAGTGGCGCACAATGGCCACTCATTGTTGCGTTGAAAAGAACCTTCGTTGAATGGAAATGCGAGTACGTTTTTCAACGTGACTACTATACATGTTAATGTTGCTACCGCTACGTGCCAAGACAATGGCTAAAATTGGCTCCCTCCTTGTTCGATACACGCTTCAGACGGCTACCAACTGTCTGGGTATCATCAGATACCGTTGAGGACAAAAGATTACGCTTTGAGAGGTCTTGTTTAAACAAATTTCATTATATTTATTTCCTCTACACGTAACTCTTTTCTTATATTTAAAGAATCATTGAATTGTTCATTTTCATGAATTCTTTTAATGTGAATCTGAATTTTTATAAAAATGCCGTTCCTTTTTCTGTAAACAATTCTCAAACAAGGAACCCGAACCCTCAATGCAAAGTTTCAACAAAAGCTCAGTGAATCGTAGTGGTCTACATAATTCGTTTCAACCGCGACATAAATGTACTTTAGCCAGCCCAGAGCTCTTCATCGGGGACGCGGAAGCAAACAAGTTGGATAGAAAAAAGATTGTCCCAAACAAACAAACATAATTTACTTTCCTACTTACCTTTGTAGGGAAGAAGGCATTTTTGTAAATCTTTTGAAATACGGAAAGGTACACTTGGTCAGTCGACAAATTAATATTTTTTTGTTTACCTTATGTATTTTGGTACTGAACTGCATTAATTCGATGTTGATCTTTACGTTGTGTGTGTTTAGATCTATTTTGGTTTGCTCCTTTTGATTGTTTATCACCCCAAACACTTGGTGATGCAACATCATCAATTACCGTCACGCTGTCCCTTTGTGCAATTTTCTTTGCGTTAACGCATCCCCTTACAAATTTATATTCATTTATTACGATACGAACATGAAATTGACACTCACTTGAATGTTATTAATTGTACTGCGTTTTTTAAATTCGTCATCTACGAGTATTATCGTAGCCTTAAGCTGCATATTTTCATCATTAAAAAATGAATAAGGTTTATTATTAACTAGCTTTTGTCCGCGACTACGTCCGCATGTAATTTAAAGAAATGAAAAACTATAGCCTATGTTACTCACAGATAAATAACCTTTCTAACGGTGAAAGAATTTTTAAAATCGGACCAGTAGTTTTTGAGCTTATTCATTACAATCAAACAAACAAGATTTCCCTCTTTATAATATTAGTATAGACAAACTTAGTTTTATTCTGACACTATTTTATGTATCTTTTCACATTTATTATCTTCCTCTTGTCTACATTTCATTGATTTATATTTACTGAAAACACGAGTTTTACGTGTAAAAAGTTGCGATTATTTTTATGCAGAACGAAATAAATTTCAGCTTCGACAACCTGAAGTCGCTTTCGCTTTAACGATACTGAGAAAAACTTTTCAATCGCTAATTAATAGATTGTACGAACGAAGAATTTTTAAACCCTTTAAAGTTTAACGCTGTACAAGAAAACTTTTTATATTTTCCGTTTATTTGAAAATTTAACTTTTCTTGCAGAAACCAAAAAAAATCTACAGATATTCTTTCTTGAAAAATCCAATTACGCGTCGAAGTTTTTTACATAAACTTATACATATAACATTAGTTTAATTCTAACTAAATGGTAATATTTAGTACATTTTTTATCATAAAACAATCGCAGTGTCAACTTAATCACACTGTTTCCTAGTATGCACAACTCATGTACTTCAAATTTAAACCTTATGGCGGCATTAGAAAGTTCAATATGTATCGTCTATTGTCGTCAGTCCATTACAGTGGCCACGCTTAGTTATCTCCTATTGATCTGGTCCAATTAAGTAAAGCGAGGCCCGCGGGAGTCATGTAGCGGACACGAGACCGCTGACCATCTGCACTGTCTCATTTACAGGATTAACGTAATTTTATGTCTCTATTATATCATGTAACAGAACTCCATTGCAGTAACATTGGTAATACTTATTCTCATCCCTTTCTTTCCCTTTGACAAAACAGAGACAAAACAATATAGGGTATCATTAGAAACCCCAAGTACAGCTGAGAGCTTTCTATCTAGAGAATCTCAAACTGTACATTAATAGTAGGTGGCCCCTCTAGACTTAGCTTAGATCTTCGCCTGGCGTCGCCCATGCTTTGTTTCTTTTCGTGTTGACTGTCTTTATACGTTTTTATATAATGAATTTCGAAAGCAAACTCATTCATTATTCACGCCGTCACGTTTCATTGATTTAAAATATTAATCGAAAAAAAGTTCGAATGAAAAGAAAAATCCGTTATGAAAAATGTATTGAAATATCAGCAAAAAAAGTTCGATACTGAGGTCTAAAGTTGGACCTCAGAGGGCTTTGTTTTCGTTCTTCAAACTTAGAGGTCGAAGTTAAACTTTATATTTTTTATTCTTTTAACCACGGAAAACTTTTATTCTCTTGAAACGTAATTTGTATTAAACAAACTATTTAATAATTTTGCAAACGATAGGATACAGAACAATGATGTTTATATTTCACTATAGCTATTTTTTATTGCCAGCGACTTCGTCCACACAATATTAAGATAAAAAAGTAACCTATAATATACCCATCTATGTCAGCTACCCTTCAGTGAAAGTCCGATCGAAATCGGCCCAACCGTTTCCAAGATAACCCGGAACAAACGCGGCTTGCGGATAGACAGACGAACAGACAAAAAAAATTTAAACGCGGTTCAAAAAAATCATCAACGCAAATACATCATCTTCCAGAAATCTGGGATTTTTCTTTTGATATTACAAACAGACACACCAATTTTATTATATGTATAGATTAAAATCGAAAAGCAGTGTTTTAATCGTCTAAAAATTTGTTTTCAGATGGTGAATTATATTCGGGTACAGTTGCTGACTTCAGCGGTATGGAGCCCATCATATACAGGGAACCTTTACAAACAGAGCCATATGATTCTATGACATTAAATGGTAAGTAAATAGCTATAACTTAAAGTTATTTTCAAAGTAACAATGTTTTACAATGATTAGTGTTAACATGTACAGTCAGCTACATAAATGTATTTACAAAACCGAATATTCGGTTTAAAATATCGTCGTTGAAGATCTAACACCCCGGTTGTCAAAAATAAAAAATAGCAACCTTTCAGTACAGAAAAAACTGCATAATTTTGTAAAAATACTATACTAGTAGACTGTTTATTTATACTTAATTATAGTGATATTTAATGTTATTTCTGATAGGCAGAAACGATGCGTCTTCCGATTCTCTAGCGAATGGCATCAAAATGTCAAAATAGCCAGAAAGTGGTGTGACTAACTTTAACGTCGATATGTTTGCCGTGATATTCTTGGTGAAGCAAATGGGAAGGCACATGTATAGATGTTTGAGAAATTGAAAGCGTTGACTGTTTGTATATATTGTCAAACGTATTTACACAGCTGACTGTGCCTAGTAATAGAGGGGAAAAAGTTACCTTCAATGCCGTTGTTTTATTAGTTTTTTCAGCTAAAAAAATAGTAATTGTTTCTCACACATTACAAAAAAGCATAATCATTTCTTCATTATGTTTAATTACTGTTTTAATAACATTTATATCATCTATTTGCTATGTTAAATACATTATTTTAATTCACAAACTAAATGCTAACCATTTAATTAAGTAATTGGTACTAAAACACCGGCGTGAACTTTAATAAATTAATTTCGTGTCGGTAAAGGTGACACAAGTTAACACGCATCTAATGGAACATGTTAAGGGTTTAATGTATTTATAAAGACATGTAGATATTGAATTATATCTGTATTGAAATGTATGACTTTAATCAGCTTGATTTTGTAGGTAGATATGTCATTCTGTTCCATAGAGATTGAAAAAATATATCGAGTAAACATAAATGACACATTTTTTCATATAATCTCACTAGCGCTACCTGGTGTCCGATAGTCAAAAACAAATGAATCAAACACTGAGAAGCGTTTCGACGTGTCGAATTTGACATTGAGACATTACCGCATAGAAAAGTTACCTGTAAAAAAATGTCTGTATTTCTTAAATGTATTTGTTCTGTTCGTATCTTTCTCCGAAATCTCTAATCGAGCTTAAAGGCTTTTTGAATTATTAGTTACTAAGCACGAACTTAATACGAAAGCTCTATCTTGGTAAATTGAAAGCTCGAATATCAAACTGTAATTAGTATATAGCCCCCAAGCAGTAACCACTTAGTAACAGTTAATATAGAGATATATTCGTGTATATTAATTTGCGTTAGAGATATTCTGTTGCCCGCAGAGTCAGGTTTATTAAGGCATTATATATTGAAATTCGGTTTCAGTATATCTGGGGAATGTTCGATGTTCCGGAAAGCCAACCGGTCTGCCATTTACTTGTTACCGACAAACGGAATTCGATGCAGGATTCTACAATGAATTATTGACTTGCATTTGCAGCGACCGCGCGGCTCGTGTTTTACTTTGTTATGATTTAATTAAAATACAAGATGATTTGTTATGTTTATTGTTTAAGACATTTTTATGGCGTTTTTACATCGACTTGAGACTTGATTTTTTCGTTTCGTCAGACTAGACGTGTTCACGGTTTTAAATCCCGTAAGAAATAAAACATGACCATTCATAGCGTAGCAAGGCACAAAGAATTTTTAAACCTATGGTTATCTGTCATTGACTATTCTACGCAAACTCGACTAAGCCAAAATACAGGACACTAAACTTCCGTCTGTGTACATTGCTCGCTCGATTGGTTTCGACTGCAACTGTCAAATAGACATCCGTCAAGTTAATTGAATTTGCGCCGTGTAGGGGGCGCTGCGAGCCGCGGTAGTCACGCGACTGACATATGATGAGAATTCTCTAATACATCCAATTAGGATCGTATTTAAATACATGTAAATAATACGATGGCTATACGACATTAACAATCATACTGGTAACTAGCTTTTGCTCGCGACTTGACCGCGTGATTTTAAAAATGTAGCCTTTCTTACTTACAGATAAATTACCTTTCTAATGGTGAAAGAATTTTTAAAATCTGTCCAGTAGTTTTTTACGTGAATTAATACATATAAAAAAACTCTAATCTTTCCCCTTTTTATAACATAATAGTCTGGTATTATAAGACTCAAAGTTAATGTCTGCTTGCAATTTGTTAGCAGCCTATGCACACCGTATCTCATGTTCCTCTGATAATTACGTATGTTAGTTGTGCCAGATCGAGCTGCCATAAGGTTTGAATACAACTCTACACGGAACAAACTTTTATAGAATGTTACAACTTTCATTGAGGACAAGAATTCGCGGAAATTTTCAAAACTATGTGTTGTAACAAATCCTATTGTCCGCAGCTCCCGACTTCGTGAACTCCTTGGTGCACGGTAACTTCGTGTATTTCTTCTTTCGGGAGACCGCTGTCGAGTACATCAATTGTGGCAAGGTAAGTACTTAATTTATCTCCTTCTATTCTTCTTACGTATTATTAGCAAGGAGTTTTTGCTACTGATATATTCGAACTTTTCCGTACTACCTTCTGTACTAATGACGTTCAATATTTGCTTCCGACGTCTTTTGTTATTTGAACTTCCGGACTATTCATTAATTTGATTTT